AAAAGCCATAATATTATTATGTCTGCTAGAGTTTATTTAATGAAAAGGGTAAAAGACTGCAAAGATGTGTCTATAATGTCTCCGCAAGATGAACAGAGATTTCTGTAATTTTCTTGTTTTACTAAGTAAAACCGTATGCAGTCAAAACATGAACAAACAAAATGTGAACATAGCAGACGAAACTCTTACAGATTACAGCTTTCTCAGTATATCAGTATATCAAATTCGTCACTGAATTCCCATGTTTATTGGGACACCCTGTACAGTGTGCAGTATAAACATACAACCTACAAAGTAGTCACCTGCAAACATGTACAGATTACAGTGCAGAGTACAGCATACCACAAACAACATACAATTGTATTACATCCGCCCAACCTTACATCCATCCTATGATACTTTGGACCTACCCGCACCATGGTTTTTCAGCTGCTGTTGGTTCGATGTTCTGTAGGTCAGTTGCACAACTTTCTTAAGTTGGTTGTACTTGTAGGTTGGATGCACATTATTTGTTGGTCGGAAGCACAACTTTAGTAGGTCGGATGCACAACTTGAGTAGGTCAGATGGACAACTTGTGTATAGGTCGAATGCACAACTTTGGTAGGTCGGATGCACAACCTTAGTAGGTCAGATGGACAACTCTAGTAGGTCAGATGGACAACTTTAGTAGGTCAGATGCACAACTTTATTAGGTCAGATGGACAACTTTTGTAGGTCGAACGCACAACTTTTGTAGGTCGAACGCAAAACTTTTGTAGGTCGAATGCACAACTTTGGTAGGTCTGATGCACAAAAAAGTTAGCGTATCCGACCTACTGTAGTTCGGTTGCACAGCTTTTTCTAAGTTGGTTGCAACTTGCACTCAATTCTGTAGGTCGGACGCACAATAAATGTCTTAACCTAACATAACCCCACATATCGGCTATATAACTTTTTCATGTTGATAAATGTGGCCGCAGCACTTGGCCCTCTAGCCTGTCCTAGCTGCAGCGCTCAGCCCCAAAACACAACAAGGGCTCCGGCTATCTAACAATCCGCCCAGATTTTGTTCTATTAATGATCCTGAATGCAAGGGAACCGGGTGAAGGGTTTCCGGGAACCAGAGTTTGCTGAAACCCCAGGTTGACATTCTCAACCCACCTCCCCNTCCCTCCTATATTGAACCTGGGTTTTTGGTTTCAAGGCAACAGTTTAATCTTTGGTTTATTTTCATAGGCAATGTGACGGCAAATAATTTTTCCATTATTCTAAATAATGAAATAATATTCTAAATAATAGATTAAATTTCAATGAAAAATGAATTCACGAATCCAGAAAATGTGAAAAATATTAACAGAGTGGGAAAATATGATAAAATATGATAAAATATT